ACCGTAGAGCATTCATTTGAAATTGTCAACTGATTCTGACAAAAAGTTGCACCGACTTATAAGTGGGTCAATGGCAAATTCCTCCAAAATAACCTCAAAAAATACAACCGACTTATAAGCAGACCGACTTATAGGCGAGTATGTACGGTACACAAAAATGACTTTCAAATCAATTTTACAGTTGGCTTAGTAGAAAAACACAGCAAATGTAAACATTTGAAAATGGGAAATGTGAAAGAAAATGTATATTTCTTTGCACAAAATTGTTCAATTTTCAGTATGTGACTAAATTTAAGTGTAGTGCTGATATACGTAAACTAATCTTTTCCAAGACGTCATGTAAATTTTAAAAGAATTCTTACCTGGGCTTGAGACAGATTGCCATGAAGTTCGCCTACATTGATACCCAGTAAGCCGAGAACAATGTGCATTCTGTGGGCCTGTTTCTTTGTCTGTATGAACACAATACAGTGGTCTCTGAAGGTACGACTGACTAGTGCTGTTAAAGAATGCTATGTATTTTAAAAATTTATGGATACAAACATTGTGTGTCCTAAAATATTATGTACTAATTATATCTGGTTGTTGTGATCACAATCAAATGGTCTTATATGTATATGAAAGTCTTGTTAAAAAAAAAATGTGAATTTCACTTCAGGGTTCTCATGAAATTAATGTGAAAAATTTTGGACTCTTTTCCTTATGATTTTCATATGAAATTCTTGTGAGACACATTTGCCTGTGTACAATGGGTTCCCATTAAGGTCAAGATCTAGTGAATGAAAGGTGCCCACAGACTTCTCAAATTTGAGATACACATTCTTTTAATGGTCCTTTGAGAATGTAGCTTGGTAAAATAAGGTGTATCCGGGCATAATTTTGGGGTAAACTCATCGGAAAAACATATTTTAAACTGCCCATTTTCAATGAAAAATGAAGAAAGTCTGGTATAAAAATAGGAGTTCTCTCCATCTCAGACAAAGGAAATGTATCAATATTGCCTATAGTCTCTCAGAAAATGGTTTTTCATATCTTCTTGACCTCTACTTTAAATTGATATTAAACGGAATAAGGGTATCGGAGTTGCATTTAACATGATTTCAAATTGAATTCCATGAAAGTGCTTTATTTTCTACATAATTCTATTGAAGCCGTAAAGTACGGGAAAAATTAAGTTTAAATCAATTATGAAGTCATAATGAATCTAGCACCAAAAAGAAAGTCTAAACTCATTTACTAGATCTTGACCTTAAGATGACCTACATGCTATGATAGCCTCTCTGTCACCCTCCCTGTTGGGTCGTATCCTGATGAACTCCTGTCTTAGCCCCAGGGCTACATCTGTGTTCTGGTTGACAAAGATTTTAACAGGCTGTTTCAGGGAGACGGAGGCCAGATCTTGCACTGCTTCTGTCATGGTGGCCGAGAATAACATGGTCTGTCTCGATCTGGCACACTGACGGATAATCTCATTCATTTGCTCTGCAAAGTACTCATCCAGCATTCTGAAGAGGAAAGATAGACCTCGTTTTGATATCTGGATCTTTGATGTACAGATTATGTTATACTTTATCCAATCAAAGAAAGGATAAGTTGTTTATTAATATCAAATATAAACAATGAGCATTGGGTATTTAGTCTTAAAATAACATTCTGCAAATATAGAAATTCATTGTCTTAATGATTTTTTCAGTCTCTGAAGTCTGAATTTTAACCTATTTATCACATCATATGAAGATTTTTTTTTCAGCAACACATACATAACAAAATAGTCATGTATAGATGAATGCAAATTCCTTTCCTATACAGTTTCTTACCTGTCAGCTTCATCAAGGACTAGAATTTCTATGTTTCTCAGTGAGAAGTTTGGAGAGTTGTGTAAATGGTCTATCAGTCTACCAGGAGTTGCGATGACAATGTCTGGATTCATGCGTAGAGCTGCTTCCTGTGCTTTTATGTCTAATCCACCTGTGAATCATATTTCTACACATGATAAGTCTACAGAGAAATGATATCAATAATCAAATATTTGAAATCAAGTAAAATGTAAATGCTGAAGGAAAGCCTGGGAAAATCTATATTAATAAATGGGGGAAAAAAGGGCAAGCTGAAAAGTAGAATGGATTTTTTTTACCAGCTGATAACACAGTCTCTATGTTGGTGAACTGAGCTAACTGTCTGGCCACTGTGTGAACCTGAACAGCTAGCTCTCTGGTTGGCACCAGAACCAGGACTCTGGTTGCAGCCTCCTGTTGTGTCCGGTACAACAATCGCTCCAGAATAGGTAGCATAAATGCAACTGTTTTGCCTGGAAAAACAAACATGCAATAACTTATACTATCTTTTCAAACTTAAAACTATTGATTTAGAGAAAAAGAAACCCATCGGATATTACTACAACACTCCATATTATAATGCAAGGTATGTCATTGATATATTTTTATTTTTCAAAATCCTTTTTATTAGAGTTTGTTATAAATAATAGGTTGTAACATTATAAATGTAAATGAATGGTTCATACTTTGATAAGACTGCCTGATATGTTAAATTCTATTTTGTTTGTTTTATTAAGTTTATTTACCTGATCCAGTAACAGCACAGGCACAAAGATCTCTACCCAGAAGAGCAATAGGAATGGTTGCAGCCTGGATTGGAGTGGGCTTGGAAAAATTCATCTGACCCAGACCCTGAAGTGATATAAGTATACAAAGAAAGATACATTAACAAGAGTTGATAGGTATGGAATACTGTAGAAGTACTTTTTCCATGTGGTATTAATTTTTGAGATGTGTGCTGTCACTAAGTTTTTCTGCCAAATTTGTCCCAGTGTACTTAAAGTACATTTAAGGTATATAATGGCAATCTAAGAAATCTGCGTATTTCTCTACTGGACAGAAATTGTGATTCTGCAGAATTTTGACCCTGTGGAAAATAGCACGTTTACAGTATTTTCAGGTGCAAATTAAATTTTTGAAACAGCACCATGATCAACTTTTATCCTGTATATAAAAAAAACTCACAAATTGAAGTGTTTTCTAACCTTCATTAATGGACGAGAGATATTCATGTCTTGAAATGTTAACTTCTCATCGTAAGAATCCACACTTTCTGAGAACTCCACTTTTTCTTTTTCCTTAAAATATACATGTAAATATATTCCAAGAAATATTGATTTCTTCATTATTTATGAATTCAATTTTTTATTGATTTCAATACCATTCCTCAAGAATACATGTACATATCCTGATGGCATTGCAACACATACAGGAGCATTAACAAGGCATTAGATAATTTTGAAAACTGTAAATCACACTGAAAAAATAAAATGAGCCAGAAATTTTATCTAAAAAAAAAATGTTTACTTCTTCACTGTCTGAGTCGGCTCTTTTCTTCTTGCCTTTTTTCTTTTTCTTTTCCTTTGTTTTGATTGTGTCTGAAAAATGTATTTTAAAAAAGTTATCATAATATCTTTACAAATAAACAAAAGAGATTTTTTTCTAATTGCTAGATAACAAAAAAAACCCAACAAACCTGTCCTCATTTCTTCATCTGAAGATTCATCATCTTCTTCAATATCATCTTCATCACTTTCCAAGACTTCTTCAAGTTTTTCTCCCTTTAAGAAAATACTGAATGTGAATATTCCATAATCTGTTGCAGTTAGTGTTTCTAAATAAACTTGAATAGTGGCTGTAATGTATGAGAATTGAAATTTCAATACGACAACTTTAAAATTTATGTTAATTAAAAAAAACCTTTTTCTGTTGCTTTCTGGCTTTGGCTATCTTTTCATCTAAAGTTGTTGCATGTTGTTTTCTTCTTGCATGCCGCAGGGCAAAATCAAAATCAAAACTGGTAGATGGGTCAAACTATAATATACAAATGCATATATTCCCTAAGAAATACTGTTACAGTAAATCACTTTTTTATTCTTGAGAACTTTAATTTTTGCATAATTATGTGATAACTTCTGCTCCCAAAAATTTCATTCTCATGCCTATTTGTTTGTTAAGGTAATGTACAGCAATAACAAAATTTGGAAATTTTTTTGTTCTCGCTTATAAATAACAAATTGCTATCTCACAAAAATAAGGTGTCACAAAACTAAATATTATCTCTATATGCAAAATAAAGGCTCACTCTGGTACATGGATGTGTATAATAGAAAACTATTTTATAAAATCTACAGATGATCGGTTAATTTATAACTCGAGTTAAAATGAAAGTCAGAAATGCATAAGTACCTGATCAGTAAAAGTGAACTTCGAATTAAATTCATTGTCATTAGTCTTTGCCTTTTTCTTCTTCTTTTGTTTCTTGACTGTCTGTGAAGATCATAAATAAAACGCCAAAAATACAGATATGCTTACAGAATGTACCAGTTGCACACAGGTAGATCAGAAGTACTACATGTAACTATCATCTGATCATTATCAAGAGACTACATAGAGCAAAGCTAGACGGTTCCGACATTCCCCTCTAGCTTAACACTTATCTTATTTAACTTTTCTTATGCTCTGAATCATTTGAGTATAATATCATGGAGAAAATAAACAGATTAAAAAGCATCAACCAAATATAAAAGGTTTCTTGGATGTAAACAAAAGCACGTGGGTAAGACCCTACTGAGCTATTCTCGTGCTAAAATACCATGGAAAATTCAAAATTTATATTAATTCAGTATTATCGACTCAGGTCACCTGAATTTCATCGTTTTCACTTTCGGAACTTTCTGGTTCGACTGCTATTTCTTCGTCATCTCCAATTGTCCCTATAAACCCGAGTTTCCTCAAATCCGCCATCTTTAAAATGTTGTTTCTATAATCATTTTCGTAAAAATTATCAAATCTTAATCTTTAAAGCAAAATAAAATTTTCTTAATGTCTACTATTTGAAAAACAATAACTTGGCATAAGTGATATATATGGTATATTCGATAGTTTATCAAAATTGTAAAATTATGAGATAATAGCTTAACCGCTAGCTTTACATGTGATAAAAATAATTTGGCGGGTAAACCGTGTGGTCAGCAGAAAAAAGTAAACAAAACGCTGTAAACATGGGAATCTTAGGTTTATCAAAATTACTTGGTGATTATGCCCCTTCTGCTATGAAAGAAAATGAATTCAAGAATTATTTTGGTAAGTTATATTCCGAACACACGAGTTATTTAATCAGCAATATCACAAACTTTCATTCATTCAGAAAACTTTGTTGTGTTAGAGAAGTAGAAGAAAGTAATGTTATAAATATGCGTGATTTGAGAGAAAGAATAAAACTGTTATTTCTGAATTTTTCACTTTTTGTGTAGTTTGACTGAGGTATAATGGAGATACTCCTAGTTAAATTTGGCTGCCAGTCTCATACCTGTCAAAGCATGTGATAGTCCGAAATATCTGACGTTTTCCAGGCTTTTTTCACGATTTTGATATTTTACGTGCCAGGATAACGTCAGAACCGGCGCCATTACGAAAACTGGAAATTCGCCGCCTCCAACTGGAGGCGGCATTCTCGGGTTGATTTTCGATACTTGCGAACCGAATTAAATGCTGAATTCACAACTTATCAATAATGCAATGCCTTTAGTACTCACCAGCATCGTTTATATGGGTTTGTTATGAAATATACAATCTTGTGAAAACATTTTATCAGACGGTCGAGTTTTCTTTACATTTCGTCCATTTTAAAATCTTGCAAGACCAAATCGAAATGTAGAGTGATATTTTCTTTTCATCGATATTGGTGGGTACTAGAAGCATTGTGCTACTGATGAATTGTAAGTTCGGCATTTAATTCAGTTCGGAACTATCGAAAATCAGCTCCGGTCGGAGACGGTGAAATTTCCAGTTTTCGTAATGGCGCCGGTTCTGACGTTATCCTGGCACGTAAAATATCAAAATCGTGAAAAAAGCCTGGAAAACGTCAGATATTTCGGACTAAGCATGTGACAACCCTTTGCAAATACAAAAAGTTGTCACACATTTCACCATGTCTCTGATTTCACTATGAAATGAAAATAACTAAATTATTCAGCAAATTCGCAACTTTTCATTTATATACCAGGGTTGGGGTCTATTTCTTTCAAAAGTAATCACTGACATTGCAATTACTTTGAATTTTTAAAGTAAATTATTACAAGCAGATTACATCCGTTTTTTAAAGACTCAGGGTTCTCACAGCACTTTTTGGGACTGGGGCCGGGGCCGTTCAAATTGGGAAAATTTTCGTCATTTGGGGGGAAATTGGGAAATCTGGTTCCTTGTTAAAGTCGAACCAGTTTACGAATAAAGGTGACATGCACTAGTTTATACAGTCCAATGCAGAACTAGTTTGTTTCACTTTTCAGCCATTAAGTTTCATCTATTAAGATTTTTAAAAAAAATATTTTGCTATAAAAAATTGGGAAATTTACACTTGGCTTTTGGGAAAAAAGGTACCTTTTTTGCATTGGGAATGGGGCCGTTCAACGACCCCAATTATAAAGAATCGAGAGCCCTGAAAGCAATCAATTACATTAGATAATATCAGGAGAGTTGACAGGTATGCGCTCTTGAACATTTATTGAACTGGTTGGGCAAAGCCCACCAAACGTAGGTTTGATCCCCGCTTGGTGACCAATTACCCATTGGAGTCGATAATATAGACCATTTGGTGGTCATTTCTATATAATATTCACATCTGCTTTAATGAAAACAAAGGAAAGAAGCAATTAAACAGGGTTACTTAGGGAATTTTGTGGTACATATACCTTGCACAAAGCAGTGCAAAGAAAAAACAAATCATCTTTCCTTTTATTTCCTAATTGAAACCTGACACCAATGTCCTTCCATAGTTAAATAAAACCTTTGACAAGGTTAGAGAAAAAAAAATCATTTTTACTGGTTTAAATTCATTGATTGATTGCCCAGGTGATCAAAATAGAAGGTGAAAAACATGATTGTTTGGTGAAACAACACTGAGGAAAGAGGAAAAATATCTTTAAAAAATAAACTTTTTTATGTAGATGATGATTTTGTCAAATAATTGCATGACACAGCACAAAATATTCCTCTTTGAATTTCATAAGACCAAATAATGTCTATATTTATTCATCATTTATTTAGTTCTAATCATGCCCCATTCCACGTAAGATGAGGAAATGAAACAAAATGATTTTTCTCTCTTATACGGTCAGTAATATTGACTCTTGTATGGGTAATTGGGCACCTAAATGGGGGATAAACTACTGTTTGGTTGGCAGTGCCCAACCTGCTGAAGCCTCAATACTCATAGAGAAAAGAAACTAATTTCCAATGTGTATTTTTTTTCCAGGTCGTAAAGTAGCTGTTGATGCCTCCATGTGCATTTACCAGTTTCTCATTGCTGTAAGACAAGATGGAAGTAACTTGATGAGTGAAGACGGTGAAACCACAAGGTGACTTAGTAAAATTATCTGTTGAAAGTTTAGTAAATTAATTTTTGCAATGAATAAGGGCTTCCTTAAGCAGTGAGTAAAATTACTTCTCTGTTTCAGCCACTTAATGGGAATGTTCTACAGAACCATTCGTATGGTAGAGAATGGTATTAAACCAGTCTATGTATTTGATGGTAAACCACCAGAAATGAAATCAGGGGAGGTAAACTATGTCACAGTTGTATACATGTATTTTTATTGTATTATAATCTTAGTTAATGTGTTTAATTAACTATATATTGAATAATATGTAATGGTGAAAAATAAAAACAATCTTCATAGCTTTGTGATTAGGTGGCCCAATAGCGGACACAAGCGGATAGTCTTTTTGAATATTTAGAGACTTGTACTGTTTTCTGGACACTTAAAGCTACAAATGACTTGCAGAAATTTTATTCACTGAAAATCTATATTTGATTCAGCTGTCAAATGTTGGATACAAGTATACATAAATTTTCAATTTTGTGCCAAGCAAATAAATGTAAATTTTTTTTCTGATAGCTCGCAAAACGAAAGGAAAGAAGAGAAGAGGCACAGAAACAATTAGAGAAAGCAGAGGAGGCTGGTATGTGACTGAGTGAAAAAAAAAACAATTATTTGGTCGGATTGTGAAGCAAAACTGATTTCTGTCTATCTGCACCAACAGTTTTATTTAGCAGCTGAATGTTGCTCTGATATGGGATTTAGTAAATAAAAAAAATTGTCTTCAAACTTCACTCACAAGTAGATCAGGGTAAATATTTTTAAAATACTGTACAGTTGACCTTATCTTTTCCATTTGACCTTAACACATAGATCTATTTGATATAAATATGTTGTTGCTCTTCTTAAGTCACACATAGATAAATCAGGATTATATATTTCAAACACCACCATTATTATTTACCTTAGGCTTTACTTTCGATCTTTAAATTGGTCAGAGAAACAATTTTATCTATTGCCAATGACAAATTCTGATCATCATCTTCTAAGATGGGATGTAATTAGTCTGATTACTATAAAAACAAATTAACTATCAAAGCATCTATTGTTATTTGCAAGTGGGAATAGGTGAATTTGAGATTTTTAGAAAGTGGGAATAGGTAGAAGACACCCCACTTTTCACAATTTTACCACCATTGGAAATTTTGTATGACCTTGACCTTGTAATAGGAATATGATACATGTTTATCTCTGTTGTGGATGACCTTTGTTATTCTGAATATCATTTTGTAACTTCGACAGTGTTTTAAATATCAAGGAAATTTCTATGCGTTTTTGGGGTGCATATTTTGACACCATGTCTTCTGTTTATTTAGACCATTACTATTGAATTGGTAAAGGATTTTAATGATGAATGTATACTTCTAGCTTGTATTTATCTGTTTATTATTGAAGTTATTTAGGACTACTCACAATTATAAAGATTTCATTGTATGAAATTGTGACTGCAATCTTCACTTATTATTGTAAGCAAAGTCTGACCTACATAAAAATACCCTGATTTTAAAACAGGAAAACATTAAATTTGATTTTTTTTGAACAGGTGATGAAGAGAACATTGAAAAATTCAACAGAAGATTAGTAAAAGTATCCAAACAGCATAATGAAGATTGCAAAGAACTCTTAAAATATATGGGAATTCCATATATTGATGTAAGTATATAACATATATTGCCTTTACTGCATGAAGAACTTGATTGTACATGCAATCGATGATATCAGAATAGGAGATAAAGCTGTTCTTCTTGAGTCCTTCTCAGCTACTCATTGATAATTGTGCAACATGAGATGATAAAGTACTTACTGTAATTGTCCATTTTGAACTCAGGCCCCAGGTGAAGCGGAGGCTCAGTGTGCTGCCTTGGTGAAGGCTGGTAAGATTTACGCCACAGGAACAGAAGATATGGATGCTTTAACGTTTGGCACCAATGTTCTGTTAAGGAACCTCACTGTTGCTGAGGCCAGGTGAGATTGCTCTATCGTTCTCTTTTCTTTTCTTTTTTTATTGCAAAAAAGAAATTGCCCTGTTAGGACCAGATAGGATTTTTTTCATTATTGATGTTTTGAAAGTATTGCTTAATTATTTTTTGAGTTGTGTTTAAGGGAGTTGGTTGATTTTATATCTTAAAATTTCTTTTTTGATTTTTCTTCTGTCTTCTGTTATTTATTCTTTCATCATATCTATTTTTATTGTAGGAAGTTGCCAATCAAAGAGTATCACTACAACAGAGTGCTAGAAGAATTAGGACTAAACAAAGATGAGGTAAAACGATCTAGATTTATGTCAAAGCCTAACATGTCTAGATACTGAAAAAGTTTAGTTAGATCTTAGTTTCAAAGAATTAAGATTATTATTGTACATATATGAAACAGGAACAAAATGATTTTGTTTTTTTGTGCAGTTTATTGATCTGTGTATTTTACTGGGCTGTGACTACTGTGATTCCATTAGAGGTATTGGTCCAAAGAGAGCCATAGATCTCATCAAACAGTACAAGTCTATAGATGAAATACTCAAACATTTAGACTCCAAGGTCAGTTTGACATGACTTGTAAAACAAGTTTGACATGACTTGTAAAACAAATATAACAAATATCAAAATTTGAAGCATATCGATTGTTTATCTTTTAAAGGTCGTATAGAATATAATATATTAGAATGTAGAAAAGCTAAGACTACATTGTGAAAGATCACAGAAATATTTATTTTTTGTACAGAAATACACAGTTCCTGAAGATTGGATGTATAAGGTAAGGAAAGTTGTTTTTTTTTTTCATGAGTGAAAGATAATGTATTTTTATGCCCCCCCTTCAAAGAAGGGAGGGCTTATTGCTTTACTGCTGTCTGTTGGTCGGTCTGTCTGTCGGTCCACCAACAGTTTCCGTTCGTTTTCTTCATAGAGGTTGCACATACTTAAATGAAATTTGGTATACAGATTTATCATAAGAATATCTAGGTCAAGTTCTCTTTTGAGCAATTTTTGACAGAGTTATGCCCCTTGGACTTAGAAAAATTCCAATTATTTGCAGTTTCCGCTCATTTTCTATGCAGAGGTTTCACATAATGAATTGAAATTTGGTATACAGATTTATCACAAAAATATCTAGGTCAAGTTTTGATTTGGGTATGATTGAGCAATTTTTGACAGAGTTATGCCCCTTGGACCATTGGACTTAGAAAAATTCTAATTATGGGGGGGGGGGGGAATAAGTGTTTCACAAACATCTCTTGTTTGCATGTAGAATCTGACTCTTGGACATAAAAAAAATTCTATAAAAAAATAATTCTAAATAAAATCTGTATATTACAGGAGGCCAGAAAATTGTTTCAGGAACCAGAAGTGGCTGACCCTGAAGAACTAGATGTAAGAACATGAAAGGGGGAATCACACTTGCTTACATGTGATCAACTTGATTTAAAGAAAGAAACAAAAAATTAATATGGTTTTATGGAGATGTCAGTCATTTTGTTTTATATGTAATACATCAGGTGTATCTGATCTGTTACTGAATGAATTTGAGAGTTAAATTCTCTATATTCATCAAAATTTTAACATTGAAAATAAATGTTTCCGTTAAATTTTTAACATTGGAAATAAATGTTTCCAATTAAATTTTTCATGACTTAAAATACAGTATATAATTTGCACTGAAGGTATATGGAGAGAACAGATTTTTTTGTTTCCGATCAGCTTTATTTAGCTTAATTCAGGTTTTGCTTGTTTCTAGATTAAATGGTCAGAGCCAGATGAAGAAGGGTTGATTGACTTCATGGTAAACAAGAAAAATTTCAGGTGAGATAAGAAGTTGGAAGTTCTCAATTCCGTTAAGAGTTGTCTCCTTTTGAATTAAAGTTCCAAAAGTATCTTTATATATTGATATTAGAGTGAGTACCTATATATTTAACCAAATGGGTTTTTTTTTCTTTGACAGTGAGGACAGAATTAGAAATGGTATAAAGAAGTTACAGAAAGCAAAACAAGGAACAACGCAGGGACGACTGGATTCCTTCTTCAATGTTGTCTCAACATCAACAACAAAGCGAAAGGTTGGTACAGTAGACCAGATGTCAGACTCTGCAGTCTGGTCCCTAAGTTATAAGTATTAAGCAAAGATATTGTATTGGTAAGTGACAACAGTTGCAAATCTTTTTAATCTCTGATGATGGTGATGGTGTGAAATTTATGCAGAAAATTTGTTTTGTGTTAGTCTGCATTATGCTCTCCTCAGTTTTGAAGGAAGTTACAAAAAATTTCTGGAAATTTAATAACATTTTGAGAAACTTCAGTGCATGTACTTATATTGGTTTACATGGACTGATTTCCCCATTTTCAGCAAGAAGAACAGAAAGGGTCTGCAAAAAAGAAAGCAAAAAGTGGATACAAACGACCCAAATAAGACATCTGTGTAGTGAGTTTGATGAAAAGAGATGCAAACAGCCCAAATAAGACATCTGTGTAGTGAGTTTGACAAAGGGAATTTTAACATGGATCATCTGTCTGTAGGATTTATTTATTATGAATTTATATAAAAAAGAAATTAAAGTGAATATTCATGTACTTTCCTTGGAATAACTTGCCGAAACTACCACAAGGATACTTTACTGTGCATTCCATTAGTACAGTGTTTGGTGAATTGGATAATCCTTCAAAAAAACAAAAATTAAAAGTGAAATGTAAATTGTTTAATGGTACATTACTTCTGATAAGAAATATGTAGATAAAATGATAAGAGCTTAAATGCTTTAATTTGAATATACATTTCCACTGTATGCTATGAACAGTTCATCCGGACAGAGTACTTACAAACATTTAATACACAAAAATGATCTTTCTTTTGACCATATCAACATTTACTATGAATGTTGATGCACTAATAGTGATGTTTGTACTAGAAATAGAAAAATAAAGCAAGCAAAAACTAACCAGCATTGTGAAGGAGATTTTTATGTTTTGATTGCCATTCAGAAATCCCCCCACTGTAGTTGGATGTTATCCATATTAACAATATAGTGTATGCCCATATGACAGGGGGTGACAGATGTTTTGTGTACTTTATGCAAAGGTTAAGAATATCATCCTGGGTGGTGCACTCAACTAGGCCATGAATAGGCAAAATGGTTTGGGGGCTTGTTGGTAACTGTATTATGTTTATTTTAAGAGTGCACCCCCATGTACCACTAGAAACACACTAAGGGGTACTAGAGTTACCCAGAGTGGCCTGACTGAATGGAATTGCTGAGCAATAGCTAATGGATCTGTACCATAAAGTATATGAAATTGTCATAGTCAGAGAATAAACAAGCATCCAAATACTGGATACATGATGGTGCAGTGTAGGTGGGGTCTATAGTGTTGTGAAATCAGGGTAATTTTCCCAATTCTTCCTGTTTAGCTGTAAGGCCTTTTAAGAAGAGTAAATAAAGTAGATATCAGGTTGTGTGTGGTAATTTCAATTTTACTTTACCAAGTTAGTGATCAAAAATAAAAACAACCTAAATCTTCATGTATTAATGCAAACAGAGCATGCTTTTGTATGTTCATCTTAACATCACTGCTGCTGCTGCTTTTATTTGTGTACCATTATTTTATTAAGGGAGATTACAAATTAGATTTAGGTAAAATCTTAACAAATTCTCTGCTGGTCAATGTTTTCTTTCTCAGGTATGAGACACCTGTAAGATTTTATAAATCAATGAAGCCATTGTGTAAACAAACAAGCTTTGACAATTTTTATTGCTAAATCAGGTTGATATGGAACATGTAGTGCAAGACAAAACGACTGATAAAGAAACAAGTTTGTCATTGGCAAGTCTGGTTAGATAAGAAACGTGATCCAAACTTTCTCCTTTGGTACATGTCGCTTTGAATAGGATGACCTGCACGAAACTGACAAGAGACAAGCTTTCCGACAAACAAAGAGATCATGCTGACCCCTGGAAAATCCCTTTGCTTGATTGGTTTGAGGGATTTACACAGTTGAAGCAAATATTAATAAGTGTTGTGGCCATGTTTAAATATTTGCAAGAAAACAGAAACAAAACCATTAAGTCTTTATTTAGCGCACCTCTTTAAAGAGGCCTGCTGGGATTGAAGAAATCGAGTTGATTTATTAAACTTTTAAGTTTCTGATTTATTTCAATATGAAAGGAACTCACTGTTTTTATAAAAGGTAAATTGAGGGTTACTTGGTTCTGTTTTCTGTTTGGAAAGTCAAAACACCTGCAATATTAAATAATTAGAACTAGTCATTTCACCAAAGTAATCTTTTCAAGCTGTGCTAGAAACCTGTTGAAGAAAACTTTTGAGGAATCAAAAATAGAATAAAAGTTTCTTGTAGCGAGAAGTACCTATAGTATCTGATTGTTTTGAAAAACAGTTCAATTTTCATGAAATGCTGTACCAGTAAATGTTAACCACACTGTATTTGTAAAAATGTTTGGACTGCCAAATGTTTGTAGCTTATAAATGATGAACCCCAAACAAGATGAAAAAAAAGCATTGCCTTATCAATTTTTTTTTCTTCAAGTCACTGATTAAAAGCATATTAATCAACCTGATGCCACCCTGAAGACATGCCTGGATTTATTTTTTGCTAAGCTTAGACACCTGTTTAACATGTGTAACAGTATCTTGCAAATTTTTTCAGCACATTGACAATATCCCAGTCCTGATGAGCTTTGGTGCCTTTGAACTGTGGGCCATGGAAAGTTTCACTTTTTCTGATGAATGCCAAATTTTTTAGAGTGGGGAAGTAAAATTGCCTGACAGTTATAACATATGCACCCTATATAATTGGGTGGTAACACCAAATTGTGCATGAATCACAGAGAGCATTGTGTAGTGACTTGTCACCAATCATTTGTAGAGGTGCCATATATCTGATACATGTAGATGTTTCTTTGTTGATGTTTGCATGGGGAAAAGAATAATAAAAAAAATAATAATGCATGTGTAAAGAATATACATTATTTGACAAATAATGCAGTTTGATTGTGTGTGTGGTACAGACAGGGACTGATATAAATTAATGCTTACATATGCTTTTAATCTCGGTGTAAAAACATGTCATTCATTGTTGAAATGCTCATTGTTTGTTTTCACTATACTGATCTGGAGTGTTTTATTTCAGAGATAACCTTTGACGTCATGATGATCAATTGTCGTTTGATTCAGGTTTTATGATGCCAATATATGTACATGTTGGGTAATCTTCTGGATTTTATTCTACCTAGTTCTTTATGTATTGTGTACTTGACTTCTATTTTTTACACTGACACAGAAAGTGGAAATTGTGCAGGTTTCCACTTCACAAAGTTATTCGTTTTTTTTATTCCGCTGATAAAGAGGGATGGGGGATGAGTGAGTGGGGATAAGTAGAGAGTGTTACCTTTGTGTATCTCTGTCCCACATTGGTTTCTTCACCTTAAAGTTTGAAGTGCTTGGATAAAGATGTTCATATTTGCACCATTGATTGATGTGAAGAAAAACTAGGTCAGGGTCACTGCTGGGTTCACAGTAGGATACTTAAAAAATATGTTATAGGACTTTGTAATCTGGCTTTTAGGTTATGAAAATAGCATAAAAGTTCACTGTAATCAAAGTCTAAAAAGTGGGCTAGACACCACTTCGTATCTCATTTGTCTAATGACCTTGACCTTTTGGAAGTGACCTTTGGTTGATTAAGATATTATGGGTGATGAGCAATAATATACTTAAGCCAGAATTCATTTGAATCAATTTTTAAAGGTCCAGGAATTTTTGCCATACATGATTCTGTGACATACAAACAGACCAACATTACAAAACCAATAAGTGTCCAGTGGTTTGGGGAGATGTAATAAATATGGTATTTAATGGAGTACTTTACCTCTGACACCTTAGTCATCCAATGAATTGAAGTACAATGTCCTAACAGTTTCTATGATACTTCAGCTTTTTGGAATGGGGCTATATCTCATGAAAATAATGTTTATTACAAAGGGGCATTAAATATTCATGCTGAAATTAATAAAGTCTTTTCAGCAATTAGGATAATAAAACTGTAAAGTAAAAATGGTTTGGAAAAGTTTTGGAATTCGTTCTTTAGACTTCCAGGTCAAAATTGTGCAAACTTAAAAGGGTATATGTATATCTTGATTTCAATGCAGAATCCTGCTGAGGCACACTAACTAGAGTTTATGATGTGAGAGTTTCTGGTGCCTTTAATGTTGTATACTACAATTTTTTTTTCCGAATTTTAAATGTGCATGAAATAGTAACTGGAACTTTTTCACATCTCGAGAAATTCAAACCTTGTTTAAGATGTATTATGTCACATTGAAAGAGGAACCATTGTATAACCTGATATGAAAGCGAGACATAGAGCATGTTGATTAATTGTTGGGTTGTGCGTTCACACTAAGTATTTAAGAGTTTCAGGGTTATTTAATTCCACTTGGAGACTGCTTTCTTGTCTTGATTTGAAAAAAGGGTATTTAGATTTGTACACAATACGAAAACTCTTTTCAAAATGATTACTGCAAGGAGTAATGTTTCTCAAGGATTTCTTTATGAAATGGATTCTTGAACCTTGATTTATTTGATACTGTAAGTTTATATGTACATGCTTGATAATTGAGCAAGACAGAGAGAGAAAAATTCATTGTGTCGGATTTCGGTATTAGGAATATTTTGCTGGATTAGTGACAACTCCTGCATAGTGATCAGTTACCCTGTCAAATCAAGGTCAGATAATGAAGGTCATTAGGAAACTTCTTACCTTCTCAATCAAGAGAGTTTTTTGGACTATCATTTAACCATACACCAGACAAATACACCTTTTGTATAGGATTGTTCCATGAATGAAAGTCTTGTACCAGAACATATGTGATGTGTTTGTTTAACTAATCATTTCAAATTATATTTTTCAGCGCTCTTAAGTTTGACCCCCCACCAGGTTGTAATGCTGATGAACTGCTTTTTAAAGTACAGTTTAAAATTTAAAAAAAAAAAAAGAAAAGTAAAGAAAGAACATACATAAGAGGTTATATTATAGACTTTGCTATAAAAATTTGTATTCATGAATTTCTTTTGTAAGTTTGATGTTAATATTGATGTTTCATTTTTCTTGTAGTTGATGATGGCCATATAAAATTTATACATTTGAATGTGATTTCAAAATGTTTATGCTCAACCACTGAGCAAATGAAAGAAAACCAGGAATATATTAAGTGTTTATATGTAACATCTTTTTGTATACCCAAATACAAGGTCAAGATCTCATGGATGACAAGAATTTTAGTTAGATATGCTGCATCACTTTCAACCATGAACTAGTAATAAACTTGTCAATTTCCTAAGGCCTGAGAAAAATATGCTTGGTTACAGTTACCCAACCAACCCTAATTTTATGCACCAAGGCCAACTTTAAAATAATGTTTGCTTACCCTCTTCCACCTCAGAATGAAAAATTGGGTTGGTAGGTAGGTGGGAAAAATTTTTTTCACAGAAAATTTTCAAATCAATGCTGAATTTACAAAATCTATTTTCTGGAATGCATAAAAAAGAATAATTATTTCATGGAAGTAAAAAAGGATTTTGAGTCGGTCCATTTTTAGCCATTCGGTTGGGAAAGGGCAACTAAACAAATTATTAAACATGGCCCAACCCATTTTTTTTGGGGGGGGGGGGGATGTAAAATCTGAAATTGCATGTATGTTTTTCTTCAAATGTAATGGTTTATATGCCGAAAGGTCACTTTTTAGTAGCAGTTTTCAGAGTGTGTGGTAGATTTTTTTAAAAAAAATAATTAGTTTGAACAAGAGAGCTTCAAACTGTCTTTAAAAATATTGTTTTACAAAATTATGCCTTATGTTAAAAAAAAAAAAATTAAATCCTGCCTACCAACTTTTTTTTGCCTCCTGTTTTCGCAAAAGCTAGGGG